TCACTGATTCACGGCTCCAGTTACTCCGAGCGAACGACGCCAAAACGGCGTAAGCTGCGAGCAAAATGCCTTCCTGGTTTGCTGCCGTTAGAAACAGAAATTTCAAAACTAATCAAGTAAGCTGTTCTCGAAATACACGAAGAAGGTGACGAAGTTCGGTTTGGAAGTTTTAACAGGTAAAGCTTTTTCTTTTTGACTTCATTTGTCGATAAAACAGGTGAAAAAATTTTTGTTTACAAATGCAAATTAAGCTTAAGTCTTGCGTTGCGTTATTTAGTTGACTTGTTCATAAATAAGCTTAAAACTAAATTTAATAATCTTTTTTACGGAATGATTTTAAATACAAAAAGAATTCACAACTCCTTTTGGGGAAATTTCCCAGCAAGAGCTAAACAAAATGTTTTATTTGTCGGCAAGAAAAAGCGACGAAAGCGGCCGTTCGGTCATTGCGCGCCAAAATTGTAATCGTTGGCAACAGTAAATGAGTTAGAAATCATATTTTTATGCTCAATTATCTCACTGTTTTAGTATATACTAAAACAATTATTCACCTCAGTGTCGGTGGCTAGTGGGATATTTACCTCGCCGCTTCGCGGCCTCGGTAAATTTCCACCACCACTGGAATAATTGTTGTATATCGCGGTGCACTATAGCAGGAGCCCATCAAAACTATAGGAATCACGTATGAAGCACCTACCCCCGGGAACGAGATTGCGACAAGGGAGAAGAGGAGGGAAGAACAATCTGCTTGCGTCCTTCCTGCTGGTTAAACTTCACTAGCCCGCGTGGCAGGCGCAAAAAAGGGGAGGGGGAGGGGGAAGGGAGAAAGGGAAAAGGGAAGGGAGCGCCTGCTCTAAGAGCCTATGTTTTTGCATAACGCCTACCAGTTTTCTAGTAATCCGATTACGCTTACCGTCAATCAAGTATCGCTACACTCGCCATTGCTGAAAAACATTACACTCACGGACTAAAGAAATTCGCTTAGTTATTCAGATCCAGAAGGTACTTTGGAGAAAATTGGAACCCTTATTCAGCCGTAATAAAGAAAGCTTTACGCTTCAAAAGAGGTCAAAGAAATTGCACTTGCATCAGAGGGCAAATCCTGCCGACCAGAAAACAATAACTACAGTCAATCGATATGTATGTCATGACCTCTCAGTGTGAAACATGCGGCTAAAATAACATTTGCTCAGTATAAATGCAGAACCTTCCAGAGCATAATCTACCCAGCAGATAAAAACAACTTTATTGGAATAAGCAGCATTTTGGCATGAGGTAAAACCTCCCTCTTTTATTGCTAAGTTACATCGGCGAATGTCATCGTTCGATAAATTGGCTAAATCTTTCGCTGGGTAGCCCAACAATTCCATCTCCTGCAATTGGTCTTCGATAATACTTTTCAGTGGCGAAATGACGAGAATCGCCGCATTACCATTTAGCTCGTAGTTCTTCGCGCGTACAAACATTTGGTAAATTAAACTCTTGCCGTATCCGGTCCGCAAAACCGCCAGAACATCTCTGTCGGCTAAAAGAGCCCTTACTGCTGATTCTTGCTCTGGTTTTAAAACAGTTTCTCTACCACTAGATAAATTCACATCTCTCAAAGCACTCTCTACGACATCCACCTCTACCGCTGCCATCTCGACTGTTTGTTGATTTGTGAAACGCGCATTTCAATATGTTACTCATTACGGCTCAGCCAATCAGGAATTTGCGGACGCCAGCGTCCGCAGATATGAACAAAAGGGGGTTCTTAGAGCAGGCGTCCCCTCCCCCTCTCCCCAATCCCCCTCCCCTTTTTCCCTTCCTCCCTATCCCCTACCCCCTACCCCTTTCGACGCCTGCTACGCAGGCTAACCTTCACCGGCGAAAAATGTCGACGCGCAACCACGTGACATTGCCTAATTCAACATGACGGCAATACCTCCAGAAGGAAGATTTATAATTGCGGCTCATCAGTTTTTTTAGAATGGCCTAGACTTTTTGTTTTAAACAGTCAGTATTTTGCGCAGCCGTACCCAGTCGCCATTTATGTGTTTTTAGGGTGAGATCAATCTCGTCCCCAGAGCCTCCGTTACTTTTGTCCAGCGGATGGGGCAACGTTAGTGATCCCCGTCGCTGTGCAAAAGGATCGCGGCTCTGGGAACGAGATTGGGTTGAGAGAAGATTGGGGGTTAGGTTGAGGCGCGCGGGGGATAAGACCTCGCGTGCCTCAACCTAACCCCCAATCTTCTCTCACCCCAAAAACACATAAATAGCGACTGGGTAGGAATATGATTTTTGCGTATTCTAGTACGCGCGAGCAGTCCAACAAAAGGTCTGGAACGAGGCTGAAAACAAAGAGCGAGACTGTGGAGAGACGCTAAAAATGCGCTTCGCACGTGTAAGACTCTTACGCCACGTTTTACGTACTTCTTTATATTACTGATTTTGAGAAAAAAACCGACTGTTTTGAGGCCCTGCCAGGGTAAATTCCGACAAGCGACATGACTCAAAAAGTAGCGACAGAGCGTAAAATGAAATTGCGACAGGAGACAACCTCCCTCAGCCAAATTGCGACAGTGACGGCAAAGCCGAGAATAAGCGACAAAGAGCAGTGGTTTGGCTCATTTATCACCAGTCTGAATGCCGAGAAGAAGTAATTTTCGTCAATTTTCCTTGCGCTTCAGAGAACGTCTCTTGTCAGTGATCTTCAGTGGACCCTCCAGACCGCGCGTCGCGTTACACTTTATTTGCGCAACCCCACACAACTCCATCCTCGGAGATCCAGGGGCAAAGTTTTCTGGCACCAATCAGAAGCCACAACGGCCGCGACCGTTTGGAACTGGTCTGGTAAGACATTGTCCCCAGGGGCTCTTCTCGCCGTTCTTTACTTTTCTTCGTGCCATATTTTCCCGCCCGTTTAAACTTTCCCTCGCCCCCACTATCTGCCCCTGGGTCTCCGAGGATGACACAACTCCTAGGAGACCTGGGAAGGAGGTTGTCCGTCACATAGGTTAATTTTATGCACTCTTTACATCTCTCGTATGCTTTGCTTGCTTTGCTCACGTCGTCAGGTAGAACCTTGAGAAGACCACTACGTCTTGATTGGTAAGGTGGAGAAGTAAATGTTATGAACGAAGTGGCTCATAAGACTGGCAATTTCCTTCCTAAATGTAGAGTGAAACGACTAGGTCGAAGATACTACATCTCTTTTAACGGGATGTTAGAACATCGCAAGGATTTCAGTCCCCTGCCAGCATTATGATCGTTGTACCCACCATGGGTGAAGAGAGACAATGTGTAATCCAGATTTAAGTTTCTTGTTTAATGTAAGCAACACCGCAGTGACGACGGTGGAGAGACCAGGGATCAGGTAACCTAACCACCGACCTTCCAACAGCTCTCACAGAGTAGACAACCGTGCCTTCACGATTTATCAGGTCAGTCAGGGTTGATTTCCACTGACGCGTAATTTTTCCGTACGAACGCTCGTAAATTTTACGCGTGTACATAAAATAGAGGCAATGTATGAAAGGCGACGCGTAAACGTAAGAGTTGAGCGAGGTTCAACTTTTACGTTTATGCGTGGCCTTTCATACATAGCCTCTATTTTTTTTACGCGGAAAATTACGTGACAGTGCAAATCCACCTTTAGTCTTAAAAATCTTAATAAGTAGTTTCTTAGAAATCGATTTTGAGATAAATATTAGCGATAAAAAATCACGACGTTTCGACCTCTCCGAGGTCATCGCACAAAGTTTTAGAATCTTAAGAAAGTGTCAGAACAAATTTGACTGCCTTATTTTTGAAATGTTTTTTATCCAAGAACTGAAACCGACGCTTAACAAACAGTGCGATTCAATTCGCGCCAAATTATTTCTTTAGAGTAGTTCTTGTTAACATTGTTTTATTTCCATTGTTTTTTGACTTTATAAATATTTTTAGCACTTTTTACATTTTTACATATTTTATCACATTTTAGCGTTCACCACATTTTTATCTATTATAACTTGTTATTAACTTATCTATGCTAATTTAGAGAACTTTTATACACTTGAAAATGACCTCGGAGAGGTCGAAACGTCGTGATTTTTTATCGCTAATATTTATCTCAAAATAGTCTTAAAAAATGTTGAAAATGGATCACTCAGTTGTGAATGGCGATGTATAAACGCGACATGTTAACTGAGAAATTGCAGAACTGTAATGGTTTCTTTACAACGCATCTCTATGCCCTTTTCTAAAATTCCGACAAGGATAAAGAATTTTCGTTCAATTTCCGACAACGACATGAAGCATTTACAAAAATTTACTAAATTTGCACGTGTTGATGACAAATGCCCAAACCTTCGTGGACGACCACCGAAACACTTTCATCCTCTCCTTCAGAAAGAGAAAGATGTGCACTCAGTCCTGTATCAAATACTGCCTGAAGACATTGCCAGTTCGCTTTCTCCGAAGAGTTCAAGACTGGCCCATCTTTATGGACTTCCCAAAGCCAAATTGAGTATGAGACCAATTTTATCAGCCACTGGAACGTACAACTTTAACCTGGCTGAATAGTTTGAAGAAAAATTGAAACCACTTTCTTTGAACGAGTACACGATTACTGATGCGTTTGAATTTGCTGATGAGATTCGTTCCATTCCTATGAATGATGAAGAGATACTGGTCTCCTATGACTTGACGGCCCTTTTTACCAATGTACCTTTACGTGAGACTATTAACATCCCGGTCAAGAAAGCCTTTACCGACGACTGGTTTAATCAAACCTATGATCTTCATCTTGAGAAAGACGAACTTGCACAGCTCCATGAAGTTGCCACCACCAATCAGCTTTTTCAGTTCGATGGTCATTTGTATGAGCAGACTGACGGTGCAGAGATGGGCTCTCCTCTTGGCCTGCTAATGGCCAATGTGTTTATGTGCCACCTCGAAGAAAAGCTCACACGCGATGGTTTGGTACCCTCTCTGTATAAGACGTATGTCGATGATGCTTAGCACTTCCGGCTGACAATATGATCCCTTTCATTGGAATTGACATAATTAAGAACGGAACAGAACTTGAAACCTGTGTTTACAGAAAGCCAACCAACACTGGTCTACTCTTGCATTTTCAGAGCCATGCGACAAACGTTTCAAAACCGGTTTATTGAAGACCATGTACCATCACGCCCATGTCCTGTTATCTACGACAGAAGCCCTCAATAAGGAATGTGCCAAATTACGTTCCATCTTCTGCCACCCTGATATCTAATTGGCCTCATCCTGCATCAATTCTACCGTTGATGTCAGAAAAGAAAACCGATGATGGCAACACGATCAGAATAGTTCTTCCCTTCAAAGATCAGATAGTCGCTAACTCAGTCCATACTGGGCAATTGCGTGATCTCAACAATAAGACTGACGTCACTTCACAGCCTATTTTTGTGAGCAAAAAATTGGAGCAAGGTCTTAAGTCTGAAGAAATTAAGCCGAGTATTGTAAGTCAGCAATGCGTTGTTTATAAATTTGCATGTGATCTGTGTGATGCAGTTAAGTTGGCTACACACTGACCCGACACCTTCATCAACGCATTGCCGAACACAAGTATTCAGCTGTCGGTAAACGTTTTTTGGAAACGCACGGTGACAAAAATCTTCTCAATGAGGGTCAATTTTGCGTTCTCAAGAAATGCTACGGGAAATATGACTGCCTCAGTTTACGAAATGCTATTCATCAAAGAACTGAGAACTTAACACTCAGAGGGACTCCATCAGTGCTAAACTCTTTGAAAATGTTCAGTTTGACTTGTAACATTTTTTTATATGTTAGTTCCTTTTAATAAACTATTGTTTTTATTGTATTTATAGAACATTCATGTTGTATTTCTTTTCACTTGATAATGACGTCCGGTAACGTCGAAACGTCTTGTATTTTTTACAAGACAATTTAAAATTTTTTTAAATGTTTTTAAGAAACGTTTTTTCGCAATTTTTTTATAGCTAAATGTTTTAAAAAGTCGCTTCTTTTAAATTTCGGAGATGACAACAGTTTATTTTAATTGATTTACTTGTTTGTTTATTTACTTTTTTGGCTTTTTATTCTGTTAATTTTTTATCTATTTATTTTTTTATGTATAAAAATGTTATAATTTTTTCCTAACAGAAGGTTTCGAAATGTTCCATGTTCCGAGTTTTATCCACAGCCAAAAGGGAGTTGTTGCGACCGTTTGCACGTAGTTTTTTAGGACTTTTCTTGGTGCACCATTCGAAGACATTTCACAACTAGTGTCGATTATAGCGGAGCACCATAGGTAAATCCGTGAAATTTTGGTTATCACGTTACCTTCCGTCCGGACGGCCGACGTCTGTCCATCCCCTCCATGTAATATGGCCTCAATGATACGCGGACTCTGATTGGCTGTTTTCTTGTAATGACCGGGCATTACTAACTAAGTGTCCAAGGCATACAGCTATTTCGAGAGAAGTTCGGAAGAAATGTGCACCCGACAATCCCGAAAGCAAATATGGGATATGATCAGTACACTGTAGCTGTCGAACCTACTTTTGTTGCTTTCCTTTAAATGACTGCATACAATCTGCATGTAACTTGATAGTAAACATTTTTATGGACATCCATGTTATGGTCAATTGACAGCTGTCAAAAAGGCCATCCATTGACCAGTGTCACTTGACTGCATCGCGGGCTCAAGTGCACAAGTCATTAAGGTGACGTGTTTTGACATTTTAGAACGCTAAAGCACGCGGTCGACTAACGGCGACCATAAGCTCCTCAAGCGCTGAGATTTCAATAGTTAGTCTTTTCCTCGAGATAGAACGGAGAAAACGCTTTCGTAATGGTGAGTCAAAATTGAAATAGAGAGTTTTCAGCTCCACTCTGTGTATGTGTGTGTGTGTGTGTTTTGTTTATATATCCGATTTTTAGTGCTAAACAAGAAGACATGTGTTGCCAGGCGATCGCACCTCTTACTCATATTTTTCCACTCATTAGGAACAAGAATGGGGTTTATTTAAGAACCAAAAGAGCTAGGGTTTACCTTAGAACCACAAATAAGATAATCACTTTATTGTTATACATTTATTGTGAACAATCTTTCTCAAACATGTATTCATAACACCCAAGTTGATGGCATTCGTCCCTTCTTAAAAAGTCCTTATAGAGTAAATAGACTGTGCTAGTATCCATCTTACAAAGGCAAACTAAATATTTCATCCAAGTCTCTTTTAATTGCAAATTTAGTCTATTTTCCACTTCCTGCGGTGCAAGCTTCCATAATTTTTTCAAGTCTACTTTTCCTTTCATTCAAAATATGTTGCCCACGCCTCCTGAGCATCCATGGTCAAGCAAGTGTGATGCGGTTGAGATAAATCATCCATTTTACAACCATCGCGGTGTTCATTCACTGCTACATAGATCAGACGATTCACTTCTCTAACAAATACATCTTGAAAAATCTCTCCTATTTTACTCCGTATGATGTGTACTCCCATTTCAACTTCATCAATTATGATCTGGTCTGATCGAACCATGATTTTAAATCTCGAGAATGATTTGCTTAGTAAGGAATGACCATTTTATGTGTTTTGAAACAATAGAAAAAACTGGCAGGTAAAAAGCAAACCCTGACATCATCTTACCTGGCAAAAATATGACACCATCATGATCAAGTAAGGACATGATATCACTATTCTATTTATAGATTATGATCTCAACATTTTTTGAAGACGTCAAGCCTTGGGGTATTCTGATGTCACTTGCTCCTTGCCAACTAAAAATAAACTATGACATCATCCCATCTTAATGAGATGCATGACGTCATCTACGTTAATGTAAACTATGACATCATCCTATCTTAATGATATGTATGACGTCACCGGCGTTAATGTATTCCCCCGAAAGTTAATGGAATCCCCCCGCAAAGAACCGGCGTAACCGGTGCATCCTCCACTACTGAGGGTCTTCGTTTTAGTCCATTGGGTCTTCGTTTTAGTCCAGGGGGTCTTCGTTTTAGTCCAGAGGGTCTTCTTTGTAGTCCACGGGGTCTTAGGTCTTAGGTCTTCGTTTTAGAAACAACGTTATTTTTATTACATGATGAACGAAAAATTCTCTGTATAAGTGGCAAGAGGAAACAATTAAATTAAATAGTTCAATTGTCACACATTAAAAGAAACATTTCTATTTAAATCTTAACTTAGATGATGTCATTTACCAGAAGAATTTACTGTTTTTACACTTCCTGTTTGTTTTTACATCAATCAAGTAAGAATTTTCGAATAAAGAAAACTAGAGATTGCTATCGTGATTTTTTTTTTACCTTACTATAATCGGACGCAAAATGATGGTGCAAGTGGGCACGGTTACCCGTGGGTAGAACAGTTGATAAAAGTGAAACGTAATTAGACCTTAGGCAAACGCATGAGAAATTACAGTGTTTGTATGAGAATCTAAAGTCGAATAATTTCTGTAAAATGGCTGTTGTGAAAAAAATATGAATTGTAAACTAAAGCTTCTCTCCTAAGGATTCTACTGTAAAAAACTGAAGGCGTTACATGCGCTAAAATGAGACCTAGAATCACTTTTTTAAAATTTTCTACACATTTGTCTTTAAGCTTCTCTAAGAAAGTCCCGGGAAAAATTACAGACAAATATTTGGCAAATCTAAAGCAAGCTTCCGGAGAATTTTTCAGTACAATCCTTTGCTTTGTAGCTTTAGTTTACAATTCATATTTTTTTGCAGAACAGCCGTTTTACTAGTCTGCTACACAGCCGTTTTTAGGGTCGTCAACGCAATGAGGAGAGTTGCGTGACGACACTAAAAACGGCTGTGTAGCAGACTACCGTTTTACGGGAATATTCGCCATTGGATTCTGATACTAACACTGTCATTTCTCACTCGCTTGCCTACTCGTCAAGATGGTGTCGAAAACCGTGACAAGGTCTATTTGTATAATTAACCGTTTTTAAAAGAGTTGGACCAGTTAGTTTTCAATGAGAATATGCTATCCTCCTGAGGCTCGACTATCATCACACATATGCTATAAAATGCCCCAGATCTCTAACTCTTCATCAAGTCGACTTATATTTCAGTAGGCCGCCCGCCTTTTCCTGAAATAGATTAGATGCACATCTATTCTTTTCTTGTAGTTTCTTAACCAAATTCCCCAAAGGAAAATTAACTATAAATTTAAATAAAGTAATTTGAAAATAATTATAGCACAGTTCATTTCGAATTCATTCGTGCTTTCAAGCTTGCGTTATCAGCAAGTCATGATGTGCTCAGGCATAGAGGACTTAAGTCACTCAAGTAAATATAAGTTTTTTGTTATGTAAAATTTGTAAAAAGTGAAAATTAAACGGATTTGCCGATAATCGTAAACGAATGCAGATAAATCATAAAAAGACGTTGGACTGACTTAAAGATGTACGGCATTCTTTGGCAATTGACTAATCGCGCGGGAGTTTTTTTTCCATTTACGTAATCACTTATCTTTGTGGGCTGAGATTCATTGTTCTCGGCGGAGATGTCGTCCATGCGGTCAAATTTAAATTGGTAAATATTTATTCTGAGGAGGAACCATTTTACTCCCATGCATTACGAATGTCCGGAGATTGTCCGGCTTGGTGTTTACCAGCTTCTTTACCATTTATGCTATTTTCGAATGACGCAGTCAATTCCTGAGATTTGGCTATCCTGCGAATAGAGGCTACATTTTCAACGTGGCCACGATCACACCTTAATTGAAAAATTATTTGGCCGTTTACATAAATTGGAATATTTTAAATATGCTCTGGGAAAAGGTATAAGTAACAATAGTGACTTAAAATTTTCCTATAAACGTTCAAGAATTCTTCATGCGCCTTTATCTTCTCAGTACGGTAACGTCAAGTATTTGGGTCTTAGGGATGCACCATTAGAAATGTGAAGGGGGGGGTAGGACTTTCTGGAAAGGCATGTTATTTTTTTCACAACCAGCAGGAGTGCAGGATTTTTTTTTCAACCTTCAAACCCTTGCACGATTTTTTTTTTCCAAAATGACTATGCCCTCTTTTGGTCTTGTTTTACTAGACTGTTTCAACCGCGCAAATGTTTTTTGTTGTAGTGTTCCAACAGAACACGTTTGTTTTAAGTATATTTTTTTCATACTAATTGAGATTTTCTATTGAAATTTGGCGTGTGAAAACCCTGTTCAGGGTTCGCAGCCAATCAGAATGGCGAAACGACTTTCACACACGTGAAAAAAAAAGCGTTTCGTCCAGTCACAGATGTTTAGTACATAATGTAATAGGACACCTAAACACGTGCAGTGTTAGACATGGACTTTTTTCGCATTGTATGTCAGATAAATCTCTCTCGCTTTCTGGATCTCACTCGCAAAGCCTTGCTCGTTCAATTTCTGATGCGAACCAACTCGTGCGTAAATACCGTACGCCCGCGCTGCCCATGAAGTAATCTATACGTTCAAACGTCCGAACTGAGTTCAGTGGCAGTTGAAACAGCTACACAAGCAGATCAAACGGTGTTTTACCCAAAGTAAACAAAAAATTCCAACCAACCAAAAAGAGTTAATACAAATAGAACATAGCCTTTAAAATAGTAATTTGTGAAATGTATGTTGTGTCCTCGCTTTGAATGAGAAGTTTGTACATTTCTAGGAAATAATAGTTGAACAGTCCCCTTTTATTGTACATGTACATTTTCCGTTCCAAGTCTCTGCACATGAAAAACTTGAACATTGATATTTGGTGGAGCAAATGTTTAATATACCGTACACAATGCTTCAAACAAGCTCTGAGGCAGGAGAGGGGGAAGGGTGCACAGAGGCTACGTATACATGTATATGTACGTGTACATATGTTTAGGTTCAAGTTTTTATTAGAATGCACCATTTCTATTTATGGTTTTGCAAAGCATTCAAAATATTTTGTGTTAGTTTGGGTAAATAATATTCTTAATACTTTTAAATGCAGCGGGATCTGCAGTGTGATTGGTGTTTTTGGGACATCTACTTTTGTTTATAGCTGTAAACTTTATGGATTCAAGTAGCAACGCATATTGTACAACACCAACTCCATAAACTTGCGTGCAAGTGGAACTATTGACGTTGTTAACACAATCTCACTTTAATCCCATTAAAACAAAAAGTATTTCAATAAAAAGTTTATTTAATTTATAAAGTTAAACAATTATCACCACAGTCTCTTAATTTAATACTATGGCAGCTATAGAGATCAAGGGCATCAGAGTTGGTTCAAATTGAAATCTCTATTTAGCCAGTAGAAATTGTTTTTTCTGCCTGAAATGTAGTTTGACATGAATTTAGGAAGTTGGGGGAAGGGGATTTCCTGTTACAGATCACAGATTTATTTTTCAGACTGTGTAATATATTGTCGCAGTCACATTGGTTATCCAAGCAGGATATTTTTTTCTGGTTTCGTTGCAATGCAGGATTTTTTTTTCTTAAAATTTTGTTTTGCAGGATTTTTTTTTTTGTTTTTGGACTCCCCCCCCCTTCACATTTCTAATGGTGCATCCCTTACTAACTGGCCGTCGATAAAATCCGGAACATGGAACATTCCGGAACATGCCGGAACATTCCGGAACATTCCGGAACATCCCGGAACATGAAAAAAAAAACATTTTCATGAAAATAAATAAATAAAATAATAATAATAATAATAAAACAATTTTTATAAAAATTAATAGTAACGTAAAATAACAAAAAACCGAAAGACAAAGAAATAAAGAAAAAGAAACTCGTATCATCTCCGGCTCCGGGTATGAGAAAACAATTTTTGTCGCAAATAATTTGTGGGGCGAGGGTCCATGGAAATGTTTGCCATGCGGTTTAACGGTTATTCATTTACGGCTTTGCGACCGTAAGAAGAGCTTAGGGGCTCGTCGCTTTGGACATGAATAATTAAATTAAAGATTCACATTCGCCGCGAATAGTTGCAGTGGCAGTGGTAGCGCAGCGGTAGTTTCTACCTGTTATCAGTTAGCCTGAATTTTAGCCGTCTCCCCGCAAACTCCTCTTGCGACTCGAGGAGACGTCTGAAATATCATGCTGACTGTAAACAGTATAGAAACTACTACGAATGTGAGTATTGTCCACTAAAATCCAAAGACAGGAGCCCCTATACTCTTCTTAAGTTCCCAGAGCCGCCTAGTCTCAGTGTAGTCTGTAAGTAATTCATATCAACCTCAAGTGAAGCAAAGCACCTCAAGTAAGCAAATGTCGGTTATATGTAAGGAGACTATATATGTTGGCTTGAAATGAGCTACTTACCGACTGGGCTTGATATGAAATACTGCACCGACATTTTAGACCATCGCAGAGCCGTAAATGGATAACCGCCAAATGATTAACTCATGGCAAACAATTACAAGAGGTAGCTCTGTGACGAAAGCTTAAAAAAACCCCTCCTCGCGACCCATTTTAATATATTTTGAATTTAGAAGCAAGCCTTCACTCATTACTGTCATTTGCATGAACCCTCACTCGCCCAACAAATTTTAATCGGTTGCGACAATATTGTTTTCTCATACTCAGAGAGGATACCAGTTTCTTTTTCTTAATTATTTCATTATTTTTCATTTTTTTTTGTTATTTTACGTTATTATTAATTTTTACAAAAATTATTTTATTATTATTATTTTATCATATTTTTTTTCATGAAAATTATTTTTATTTTTGCATATTCCGGGATGTTCCGGAATGTTCCGGCATGTTCCGGAATGTTCCATGTTCCGGATTTTATCGACGGCCGTGATTTACGGCAAGGTTTTTTGCTACAAAAAAT